TTTCACTGTCTGTAAAAAATCATACTGGCTCTTTTTACTTTTTAGACTGAAACATAGAGGTGGAGGTACTGCTCTTTGGTGGCAAAAGTGGTTAAGAGGGTGGTGGTATCGACCCAAATGAATTTTTAGACAAAAAAGGAATTCTACCACAAGTAAAAAATAACAGCATATTGGTGCAGTGTTTCGTGTGATTAATAATAATAGTAGTAATGTTTTTGTGATAGTGATAATGCATTTATATTTTCAATTTTTGAATATTTTTTATTATACGGCGTATACACACTTCTACTTACCATTAAGTGGATTGTGTGCTCGTTTATCGCTTTGATATTTGCAAATTTTTGATGATTGCAAAATGAGTAGTGAATAGCGTAATGAGAATACGAAAAAAAGTCATGAAATTATTTTAAATTAAAAAAAATCATTGCATTTTTAAGAATGTAAACATTAATACATACAAGTCAATCTAATAATAAAAGCGTGTTGAAAAAGCCCGTTAAATTTTTAATTATGATAAAGTCAGTATTATTTTTTGAGTAAAAATGGTAAATGGCGGGTAAAAATGCTGATAATTTGCACTGAATTTTTTATACGTAGTAGGAATTGTATTCTGATTAGGAGTCTGTCTAAGTAGGTATTACACTCTTAACTATTTGCCTGCACTGCTGTGTTCCAGTTTGAAGAGTATAAAAAGCCAGTATAAGTTATATGCTGCGAGGCATTACACCTTAGGCCTTAATAATGATAACACATCTGTAGTCTTCTGTGTTTTAAGTTGATTGCAGGTGTCTTTGGACTGCAGTAGAGCTACTTACCATTCGGTGAATTGTACGAAATTTCGCTTGTTACTTCAGTTCTATAAAAAAAGTAACTTATCTCACGCGTCTTACTATGTACACATATTTCATTTTACCCTAGTTGGTAGCAACATCAGTAACTCATTTTCTAGTCCAATTTGCTATCCATTTCTGTGGAACTTGTTGCATAGAGACACGATTGTATTATAACACACGATTGTATAATATTACTCAACACTGAACAAGGCCTCCCCCAAGTAATGCCACAAAGCACGGTCCCACTTGCATCCATCGACTCCCATGTCTACCAGTCACTCCATCTAGTGGGGGGCTAACTACCCCACCGGTACGAGGCTGCCACTCGAGAATCTTTCTTCCCCATCGGTTATCGTTCTGAGCTATATGGCCCCCATTGCCACTTCAGCTAGTATTACAAATGTTAAATTGGTTATGAATAGTATTGGTTCTATATATTTCAGTTACTTTTTAACAGTAGTTACAATATATACTATTTATTGCTTTCTATCTATGCACATTATGCTTATTGAACTACAAATAACAGGTTGTCACATAATTAAATTTAATGAAAAATAATGGTAGAAAAATTATATATATATATATATATATATATATATATATATAATATATACATATTATATAAATAATATACATAACGTAGGTGCATCACCTACTCTGAATAATTTTTCTTTTATAATTATGTAAGGTGTCGTTAAATGTCGAGATCTGTTAAGCATTAAATTTTATATTATAGGCACGTGTCAAGCGGGGAACTGGCGAGGTTTTTCTTAGATTACTTTCACGTTTATGTACTTATGTACTTTAAGTATTCCAATTGGATTATGAAGTAGCCGTGTGGGTACGTATATGGAAAAAATTAAGCAGATTTGGGCAGTATCTTGTTTTACGTAGATCGGACCGAAAATTTAATGTTAAAAACTGTAGGTAGCCGGACTAACTATGACATTGGGACGTCAAACATCTCAGTCCCCTCCGTGACCATGGGTGCTGTTAAGCACCCAAAACGTCGGGCTTTAAAAATAAGTAAAAGTAGCTAATTAAACGCGATAAAATCCGTAAATTTAGTTTTATTCTGTCGATAGCATTATTAAATAGTTTACACAAGAAAGTAATATCTAGCAGTGATCGTCTTAATTCTAAGGAATGCATGTTTGTGTGTAGGATTTCCAACGCGACAACTGACTTCGATATGCTAAGTGCCCGGTTAAGCGTTTCTGTAATGGTTTTTGGCAAATAGTAAATCGCTAATTTCTTTTGTGTTGTGTGCTTTCCTGTTGCTAAGCGTCACGATAAAAGGTAATGAGGAAGTATTTTTTTGCACGCTTTTAATATGCGTGAAGTAATATTTGGGATATTTTGATATTTCCTCTTCAATGATTGTAACATATTTTATATAGCACCTGTTTATTATATGGTTATCATCTTTTCTTATGTATTGAAATTCAATTTGGTCAAGCGGTTTATTGATTCTTTTAAATTTGCTAGCTGGAAGAAAACTATACTGGCTAGTTTGTCGTACTTTTACGTGTCTTTGGTACATAATAATTTATTATTTTTGAAGTATAGCGTAACACTTTAGCAACGTTATATTTACGTTACTCAAAGAGTTCAATTCATTTACCCAGTTTACCTGATCGAGAGATTTTATTTTTTCATCATAATTAGCTTTGTAAAAATTTAATACGCTTTTCGATAAGTTTTTTGCACAGTGTAAAGCTATTATTCTTAATGAGAATTCAAGTGGAGGGTGTAACACGTCTATGTTACGGTCAAGACAAGTTTATTTATTGACTGATATTATTTATTTGTCACACAAAATTAGGTCAATAAATTTATTTTTGAGTTAGTTATTGGGTTAAACTGTTTCAAATTGTTAAGAACCAAAATATCTAAGTTTGATTTTAAGTTACATGTTTCAAAGGTAGGAGAGTGTAAATAAGAGACCACGTATGATGATACTCCACGATATTCCGCTTAGATTAAAATAAATCCCCACATATAATCGTGTGCTGGCAATTAGTATTAGAATGTAGAAATAAATATATTTTATTTCATACGTAATTTTTTCCCAATGTCAAAGATTTTTATATACCTAATGTTTAGCCTAATAAATTTGTTGGTGATAAACTTGTTTCAAGCAAAACTATTTTAAATAATTTTTATATTGTAATAACTTCATATAAATAGATTTTTAATCAACTTTCTTATAATTGTAATTTTTGTGAAATATGTATAAATAAACAGACCTTTTAAACGTTTACGTTACAGATAATTTGAATAATGTATACCAATGTTACTCATTTCATTGAAAATCTTTTGTTGTTAGCAACGTCGACGAAGATATGCAAACAAATTTCTCTTTAATTGTTATTTATTGTTTGCGAAATTTATTCAAGAAACATTTTCTTAATTTGTAGTATTTTTTATAACACAATAATGGTGACAAAAGGGGTACACAGTCCACCTGATGGTCTAAGTAGATGCTGTGCCCCACAGACGTCTACATCTCTTACTATCATCAAATGCAGATGCCCCGTTTTCAGTGAAGGTTTCCGGTTTCTCGACTCGACTTCTATAATACTGACGGGACGAGATAAGGTTATAAATTATTTTAAGCCGGTAAACGGAAATCAGAGATTCTGTGGCTTCTAATTTATTATAATAACTTTGCAATCTCCTTACGTATCTAAAAGCTAATAATTTTGATAACAATATAGAATAAATTGTAACATTTGGATGTATATTACGATGACAAATAATATTTTGCGGTATGTAGTTAAATTAACTAACAAAGATAAATTTTGATTGTGAGTGTTAGATTATTTTAGGAGGATTATAGGAATATTGAAGTATTTCCGCGACCTTTGAAAGAATGAATGAAGAATGTAGTGGCGGCGTAAGAATATCCATTACGTGATATCGTCCCGTGGATGTAAGAGGTGACAGAGGGACATGGAACAGGAAATGGGCAGCAGCATCTTCCTGATACCAACTCAAAATAATAAAAAAACTACCTGCTTGCTAAGCTTGGAACAATAGCAATTACATATATTTAAAGTATTGGACTTTTATAGGCTGTAATGGATGGAACAGTTAAATGGATGGAAAGAATTGTTAGTAACTTCAGAACTCCATTAGGTGTCCAAAAACTAATTCTTTTTTATAACACAAGGTACTCAATCTTAAAATCTAAATGTGTATACATTTCGATAGCAGAAATAGAAAATTTAGATGTATAATAAGTAAATAAAGTTAAATTTCGATTATTATTTCCTGTCTGCAAGGCACCCGTTTAGTAATCACCGAAGCCGAAGCGATAACCCCGATCTTCGTTTGTACCGAATTCTGGTCCTTTTTCACAATTACGTTTTTGGGGCAAAACTTAAAATTTTAACAATAAGCAAAGAACAAACTGACTATTTAAAATTTACGAAAACTCGTACATACACACATAGCGTCATGCCTGTAATTCCCGAGTTGGTAGACAGAGTTGACAGACACAATGACAAAGAGCAGCGAGCTACTCGACATTACATGGGATATGGTCCCATGTGTGTCTGTCATCTTATCCAAGGAGTTGGTGTGTTAATTATTATTATTATTATTATAATACATGGACTTATAATAAAAAATAGTGTGCTAAATGTGTTAGTATGCCAAGCATATCATTAAAGGGGACTAACAGTATATTGGGTTTGTAATAGTGCAAACAATGGGCTATTAGTCACCTATCACTTCTGTGATATAAAATTTACAAATTGAAAATTTCATGCCTATTCAATATTTAGAATTAAAAACAAAATATTAAATAAACATCTTGAGCTCACTTAGGCCGTACGAACTTTTAACATCTTGGCTTCATGTATCACAAAGTTTGATATAAATTCTTGACAAATTACTGTCAACGAATTTTAAAGCAAACCAAATGACTTCGGGACTGAAAGCTACTCACATGCTTATTATTTTATTCTGTGTGTTTGTTATTTTTTAACTAATACGTAATGTGGAAAGACAAAGCTATAAAATATACAAGTTATATGAAGTAAGCTTACGGTTACTTACGGTGTGAGTTTGAAATAGCTAACCGTCTTAAACCGAGTGGTATCTCCAGCTGGCGTGTCCTTCTAAATAAAATATTTGCAGAACCGTGGCGGAGGCTTGGATATGAACGTGATTCCGGCATGGCGGGAAGGCGTCACAGGACGTGGTGTCGTGGTTACCATTTTGGACGACGGCCTAGAAACAGATCATCCAGATTTAATCGCTAATTACGTAAGTAAGATAAGCTTTGTTGTTATTGTTTTGGCCATTAAGTTCGTAAGAATTAAATATTGTTTTTAATTCCAGATTATCTTATTATTTTTGCTATCTATGTTATTCGCAACCTTTTTTTTAATGCTGATGAATGGCTTTTCCAACAAATTGCCAAGCGAGCATTTTCCTGCAAGATCGGTGAATTACTATTTACAACCCTTTTGGGGTCAGTGTTATTAGCGCATAGTCGATATCATAACAAATGCGGTTATTGAGGACCCATTGTACTGACTGACAATAAAGTATTCCATCTTAGTCGCCAAGGGTGACAACGTTTTGATTCTTAGTCAATGATATACCTATATCTGTATGGACCACAACATCAATTTACCATCAGATGTAACTATGTGCTCGTGTGTCTCACTTCTATAAAAAATATAAATCAACAACAAGAGCCTTATGTATGTTGATCAGCACTACAGCGTGCACCAATGTAACTAATGAGAGGCTGGCGATCCACAGATTGCAGTAAGTCTATTGCAAAATGGTTTACTTAAATAATTGAAGTAGACAAGGAGACTTGATTGTTTGCAACACGCGTTAGAGCCCGGCTTATATCTGTAATATCTGTGCCTTATAAAATGCTGTATCTGTGCTTCACAGGTTTTGTTTGCATTGTCTGTTATAGTACGTAATACACATTTCTTCTACGACCTAAATATAGATTTTTAATCAGAACAACTTTATCAGTATTCTCACGTATCATGCTACCTAGCGTATATGTAAACATTCACGGCATTATGCGCCCTAATACCTATTCTTAGTCTCCATTTTTATGTTTAAAAGTGGGCTAATACAGAGTTAAAAAAATGTACCTTAAGGTTTTGAGTCTTTTATTTTAATTTTAAGAGCTGATTTACCATGTGCTCAATTCATGGAACGGCTTGGGCTCAGGAAAGAACCGCTAGGAAACCTCCATGTGTAAAAATAAAAATATATCGAACAAATGTGAAGACCGTAATATTGTATATTGGAGCAACATGGAATAAGGGCAAGGAGGAATTTTCCTTGCCCTCAAACCCTTAAAACCCGTTCAGAAATATACCTGGCAATGAGACTTATATACTCGTATGAGCTTTAACTTATTTAATTTTAATTTTGATTTTTCAGATTATATCTAGTTATTTCCCTTCGTTGTTTCTTATAACTCCATAGTAGAAATACGTAACTTGTTCTAGTGTAAAATATTCGAAACTCTTTTCATCATTCCGTGTAGTGGTGGTATAAGAATATTTATAGAGGCGACAGAGCGAAATAAACCAGGAGTTGGGTAGCAGTGCCCATGAATACCTTATGAATCTATGTGGATGTAGACTTTAACAGACAGCCTTTATATAATGAATGCATGAAATTCATCATACACATAATTTCCAATGTAATTTATCAATTTATTGCTTAATCGAACATGAACAGCTACATCATCGCTTGACATTTTCATTAACAAACCGCTGAAGCGCTGTAACAAGTTTTGATTAACATTTAGATATAAAATACATGATATATTCATGTATAGTATTTATTGTTTCATTTACAATGGTGTGTTTAACGAGTAACAGTATGGTTATGTCATGAGTCTGGGTTTGTACATTTGTGTCTTGATCACTTAATGTTCAGAATAATTTACAGCTTCAGAAAATAATGTAAAATGTCGAACAGTAAGGATAATTAAAAACATTGTTTAATTTGTTAAAAAAATACCTGGGAACCCTTTCGTACCATATGTTCTTGTTTTACGAATGCTTTATAAAATATACAAAGATGTTATGTAATATTATCGAATATCCAATAAAGAATCGTTTCAACGACTTCTGGTAAAAGAAAAACCACGAATTCCATGATCTGCTTCGTAAACCTTCATTTGGAATTTCAATATATGCGTATGGAAAATTTTATGTATAAAGGAAATATTATGTGAAATTACATTCTTATATTGAATTTCAACTAAGAAAAATCATCGGATCTGACGTAAACTGTCCTCATAAGTTGATGGACTTTTACTGAAACTGATGCAGTCGAAATTAAATATAGCAGTATATATATATATATATATATATATATATATATATATATATATATATATATATATACTAAAATATAACTGTAATACTAAAATACCCAGACAACCAAAGAATATACTGTACAGATATGACAAAAGTTCATACGATGCGATGTGTAACGACAACAATTTATTGAAACATTTTATACTTTAATATATTTAAATACTTTAGAGAACTAGTCTTTTGCATAAAAACTTTATCAATCTAGAGGGTTTAATAATTTGTTCTGATATTTAATATTTGACCATTTAATAAAGAGACGCTGTACCGATCTTCTGTCTTAATTTCTCTTTGTCGTTTTTTACATCACGCACGGAATAAATAGAGGCAGTGTGTTCAAAAATGAGTTTTTTTTTCTGTACCATTTCATTTTAATTAATTATAAAATGCTTTTTTAATTTATGTATCGTGTTCTAGACACGTAAGATATGATCTTTTTCTTAAGTTCCATCTCTTGATACGGTTAGCAGAAATAATCAGAGTATATAACTTTATCCTTACAGCTTCTCAAAAGTCCACTGACGAACACGGCCTCCCAATTAACGTTTTTAGGGTTCCGTAGTCAACTAGGAACCCTTATAGTTTCGCCATGTCTGTCTGTCCGTCTGTCCGTCCTCGCTTAATATCTGTGATCGTTAGCACTAGAAAGCTGAAATTTGGTACCAATATGTGTATCAATCACGCCGACAAAGTGGTAAAATAAAAATTGGAAAAAAATGTTCTATTAGGTTAGCCCCCTTATACGTAAAGTGGGAAGTGATTTTTTTTTAATTTCAACCCTAACGTCAGATATATTGTTGGAAAGGTATTTAAAAATGAATAGGGGTTTACTAAAATCATTTTTTGATAATTTCAATAATTTAGGAAATAATCGCTCCAAAAGTAAAAAACAATATGTCCCCCCCCCTCTAACTTTTGAACCATAAGTTTAGAAAATATGAAAAAAATCTGAAAAGTAGAACTTTATGAGGACTTTCTAGGAAAATCATTTTGAACTTGGATGGAAACAACAATTTTTGTACAAACTCATGAGTGGGAACACTTATTGTGACGGACGGGAAACTACGGAACCCTACACTGAGCGTGGCCCGACACGCTCTTGGCCGGTTTTTTATTTTACGTGGTAGAGCCATGCTGCAGCTGTATTGGTAGTATAGTTGTAGCTCGAATGGGTAGGACCACGCTCTCACAGAATACCAGCGTAAAATAACAGCTAAACGCTGCTGTGTTTCGTAGGGTGAGTGTAGAGAACCGGAGACCTGTTTTACTGGAAAAGAGGCATTCCATCTTAGTCCTCTCGGATGACAACGTATCTTCATTTTGATTCTTAATCGAGAATAGATGTAAGTATCTATGGGCCGCAGCAACCACTTACCATTAGGTGGACTGTGTGCTCGTTTGTCATCCTTATCTTCTAAATAAATGCCTCTAGGGGGGGGGGGCATATTTGCCACGCATGGCAGGTGTGTTGGCACCCGCAATTATTTGTTCTTTAGTTATTATTAAGAAGATGCTGCAGCCCCATCACTAGTTTCTTTCTTTCTGTCGCCTCGTACTCCACTCACGGGACGACATAAGGTATTGCATATTTTACATCGCTAATACAAGGTCTAATTTTCTAATTTGAGCACTTATATTCGTATAATATACTGATGAAATTGTACATAAAAGAATAAGGACAACTTCTTTCCTCGTTATATACTTGTGATCCACGTAACATTTTTGCGACAGGTTTAGACGTGGGGTTGAATGTAATCATAGCTATCTAAAAATCTAAAAAACCTAGAACTTACTAAAAAGTCTGTATTATTCAATTAGTTTTAATAATAATTAGTTTTAATATGTTTTATTACAACTACTATATAATAGTAAACTTTTTGATCCCTTACAATCTACTTTCGTCCTGACCATAGTACAACCACAGCTCTCCTTAAAGTTGCCAATGACGTACAAGGGGGCATGGTTGAGTCAAAATTAGCAGTTTTCGTATCAATTGACTTTTCCAATGCTTTCTGTACAGTCAATCGTGACATTTTTCTTGCTATCTGTAAATACATTGGGTTGGACTTCGTAAGTTTTGGATTAGTTATCGTCTTATCTCTGATATCGCCAGCAAAGAATAAAAGTCAATCAACAGTTCTTTTCTGACTGATTTAATCTGACTACCACAAGGTGGAATTTTTTGTCCTTTATTATTTTCTGTTCTGATAAATCTCATAACAATAAATTTAAAATGCTTCTACCACCTGTATGCTGATGATTTACAGCTATATGTGCTCAAATCATTCGTTTAACGACACGTGTATTTTTATAAGCCTGAGACAATGTGTTTACTTTAAGGGTGTAACCACACCAATATATTGATCAATGCCATTGATAAACGTCGATTGATGTTGATTGATTGATGTGATAGCTTTAGCTGATCGGCAAAGCATTTTTCAATCATCGATCGATCGATCGATAATTAATTTATGTGATTGTGTGCTCGTCATCAGTATCTTTCAAAATATATTCAGAAGTGGACGCGTTATTGCTGGCCAGTACGCTCTTGCACATATTATTATTACGAAGACGCAAACGCAGAAGACTGTGGATGTGACCATTTCTTTATGGCCAGAGATAGTTTAAATTCATACAGACGATATTTTCAATAGTTGTCGGTGGAGCAGAGCGGGTTCTCGAATATTCAAGCAGCTCGATCGACGTCGACTAATCTATTCTGCCATCAGTCGATGCCATCGATCGATTGTTGTAGTAGCACCCTATCAATACGAGACAAGACGAAATCCTTGCTAGAACGTGGATTACTTACATCTATTTGTAAGCGAGGTTTATTTAGGTTTATATTATGTAAGAGGAAGTATGTAGTATAACCTAAGTATAAATATAGTAAGGGGCATATGCTCGGATTTTCTTTGTATGACGAAATTCCTACTCAAGATGTCCGCAGTGGAGCCATAATTACAGGCATAAACCAACGGATCGGCAAGCTGAAGTGCAATGGGCTGGTCATATACCTCGAAGAAGCAATGGGTAGGGCTACCCTCAACTAGATATAGTGGCGACCAGGTAAGACATTCAGGAAGTCAATGTGTGCGGGTGGCACAGGACCGAGTTTTGTGGTATTTTTTGAGCGAGGCTATTTTCATCAGTTGACTTATGAATGATTGTGAATGAGTGAAGAGGAAGAGAGATTGATTTATTTTACTATCAAAAAGACGGTGCACATCTTCTAATTTGTTTTCGACACCCATGGCACGATATGAGGTAGTGGATATTCTTACGCCGCGCCCCCTCTACATGGTTAATTATACTATATTGTGTTTGTTAATAGGATCCTATGGCCTCATACGACGTGAATTCGCACGATTCGGACCCTCAACCACGTTACGACATGATAGATTCGAACAGGCATGGAAAGAGGTGCGCGGGCGTGGTCGCTGCCACCGCCAATAATTCACTTTGTGCTGTCGGCGTTGCTTATGGTGCTAGTGTTGGAGGTAAGTATTATATTTGTATTTTACTTTCTCCATTGTACTTTATTGAGTACGTTCACAAAAAAGAAATACTTTTTACCGTATTTCTCCGTTGTTCTTTGTAGTAGTTTTATTGGTATTCTGGTCGGAAATGGGGATAGCTACCCTCCTGCTATAAAATGGTATTGGTTTAAATGTATTGTTATTTAAGTTGGTAGATCACCAATTAAAATTACAATCACCTTTATTGTTCTTAAAGATATAAGTATTGTTATATTTTTATCCGCTTTATTGTTCTGACGTTAATTACCGTATACTTGCGTTGAGGTGGCAGTGTAAGAGAATCCGTCCACCTGCTTCCTATGGGCGTCGTCAAAGGTGACTATCTAAATTGCTAGAAAAATCTTATAACTTCCGATATCATGCTACCATATCTCATTTACGCCAGACGTAAAACATCCAGATCGGCGACGGACAGCAGCATCAATACGTGTGGTACCTAGTGCGATCGTCGGTGCGCCTGTGAAGCGTGACGATTAAGGCGAATCTTCTATTCAACAGGACAGGCTTATGTCCAGCTGTGGACTTACATAGGCTGATGAGGAAGAAGAAGAAGTTACGTGCTGCGAAGGAAAATATTGTTAGGAAACCTGTACCTATATTAATATGATAAAACCGGGACATGTGAAATTTGTTGGCGGTAGTGTGACGGACCCTTCTTTGCACTGAAAAACCCCCTCAAAAATCTGAGAGGGCAATAGTGAGACATACATGATATAATATTGACTGTCTCTTTCTTATTATATTTAATTTAAACTGAATGATGACCGAGTTAACTCAGACACAAATGACGTCACATACTTTGCCGTGACCTATGGTTATTTCAAAGAACTCGTAGCTCGTAATATTAAATATAAATTAAAATTATGAAATTGTTACTAATTCAATCTAATCACTTAGAAATTTTTTTTTCATATACTCGTAAAGGTGTGCGAATGATGGACGGTGACGTGACCGATGCGGTGGAAGCGAGATCTCTAAGCCTCAACCCCCAGCATGTAGATATCTACAATGCATCTTGGGGGCCAGACGATGACGGAAAAACTGTGGATGGTCCCGGAGAGCTAGCCACAAGGGCATTTATTGAAGGTGTTACAAAGGTATCAATCAATTAGTCAATATATTCTTTACGGTACAACAATACACATTTAAACAAAAACCAAATAAAATATAAAGAAGGGGCAATTAGCGGTCTTATCGCACTGAAAACAATTTTTACGTGGTTATCTTATAACTTAAAGAACTGTTGATTTCTTATATTTACGCGAACACTACACATTGAAATAATACTAGTTTTTACGGAATTTATCGCGTATATTTAACTTTTAATACCCGACGTTTCGAACGCTTTACAGCACTCATGGTCACGGGCAGGACTGAGATGTTCAACGTCCATATGTCATAGTTAACCGCGGTTACCATAGATTAAAATTTAACTTTTGTTCCGATCTATGCAGTATGAACTTATGGTATCTTGAAGTCTTGCAGTTGTATGCTTGGGTTGGGATTTAATTTTATTTATTATAGGATCCCAAGCAGATGGTAGCACCCAGCCATCTTCTCTATTGAAATTAGGATGTTTTTTGATTTCAATAGCCTCGCGAATCATCCTTGGAAGGAATCGGTGTTCTTTAGCGAGGATCTGCGGTCTATCAAATCTGATGTAGTGATGGGGGCGATCCTGTACGTGTTCACAGACTGCAGACTTCCCGGAGCGTCGATTCTTCACATCAGCTATATGTTCTTTAACGCGGGTTTTTATTGATCTTTTAGTTTGTCCTATGTAGGAGAGACCACATTCACAATCAATTCACAGTATGGCTCAAGGTGTTATCAGGATTCCGTTAGGAGCCATACTGTGTATAGAAAAAAGACCCATACAGATAGATATTTAAACGGTGATTCTCACCACCATCCTTCACAGTTAGCTACCGTGGGTAAATCTTTGTTTCAGAGAGCACGAGGGATCTGTGACAGTAAACACCTGGCTGCAGAGCTCCACCATGTCAAGCAAGTTTTGCATGACAACAAGCTTCGAGTCCCGCGCCTACGTCACAGTGAACGAGTGAAGCCGGCCACAGTCGAGCGTGTACCTGCTGTACTGCCATATGTTAGAGGAGTCACTGACAAGATTGGCTACATCTTGAAGCGCGCTTCCATCAAAACATACTTCAAGCCGCTGAAGAAGATTGGTCAGTTTTTACCATCGGTCAAGTGTAATGTCCCTCTGCAAGATGCAGGAGTGTACAAGCTTGATTGTGAATGTGGTCTCTCCTACATAGGACAAACTAAAAGATCAATAAAAACCCGCGTTAAAGAACATATAGCTGATGTGAAGAATCGACGCTCCGGGAAGTCTGCAGTCTGTGAACACGTACAGGATCGCCCCCCATCACTACATCAGATTTGATAGACCGCAGATCCTCGCTAAAGAACACCGATTCCTTCCAAGGATGATTCGCGAGGCTATTGAAATCAAAAAACATCCTAATTTCAATAGAGAAGATGGCTGGGTGCTACCATCTGCTTGGGATCCTATAATAAATAAAATTAAATCCCAACCCAAGCATACAACTGCAAGACTTCAAGATACCATAAGTTCATACTGCATAGATCGGAACAAAAGTTAAATTTTAATCTATGGTAACCGCGGTTAACTATGACATATGGACGTTGAACATCTCAGTCCTGCCCGTGACCATGAGTGCTGTAAAGCGTTCGAAACGTCGGGTATTAAAAGTTAAATATACGCGATAAATTCCGTAAAAACTAGTATTATTTTAAAGAACTGTTTTTCACAAGGAATATCGAAGAAGTGTTGTATATAAATTAAACATTTAGGATAAAAAAATATATATAAATCACAAGATGATGAAGATGAAGATGAGACAGTAAAGGATAAGTAGATGGCAATACAGGAATGTATATTTAAAAAATATTTTTTCTTACTGTAAATCACTACCATGAATCTTAAAAGTGCTTATTAAGATGTTCACAAAATAGCTAAATGATGAATTCGGTCACGTATAAAACATTGTCTGCAATGCAATGCAACTTTGTTCACTTGCACAATGATACAGTATTCTTTATTATAACAAAATTAAACAAACCTAACGTTTAACCAAGTTCTCACTTGATGTTAAGTGATTTATGCTGCAAATATAAGTGACAGAGTCTGCAGGACACCCGTTTATGGACAAAATTGATAACATATTAAAAATGAGTCAAATCAAAGTATCCTGAACCAATGAGATTGTATGTATGCGTTGTTGTTTTTTTTATACGAGAGGGGAAATTGAGTATGCGGCTCACCTGATGGTAAGTGACTACCGCTGCGCATGAACAATTGCAACACCAGGGGAATTGCGGATGCGTTTCCGGTCTTTTTAAAAAATAGGCTCCTTTCTTAATGGTCCGTAAGTCGTATTGGTCCTGAAATTCGCTGGTGGTAGTCGATTCCACAGGGAAGTTGTGCGAGGAATAAAACTTCTTCTAAATCCCACAGTGGTAGAAATAAAATGATGTGTCTTACCTAGTTTGAAGAGTACCTCCCGCCCTCCCTCGATTCCCTGCACTATCTTCGTCACCACTAACCTTAGAACCACTACTCCCAACATCACTACACTAGGAAAGGCACAGCACCAACTATAATACGACACGTGATTTGCCTCTACACGAGGCATCCTCAGGTAAACTGACGGCTATGTGAGCGGCGATCCGAAACAGCTGATATTTATACAATTCGCTCACGCAACTGCTATCCACTTAATAGCGAGTGACCACGTCTTGTGATAAAACATACGACCACGCAACTAATCGCTGATCACCGTGAGGGTGATGAACGACCATATTGCGAGGCTGTCTGTTATTAGAGAGCGGGCTTAAAGATATTTAAAGAGGTGACAAATAAAGAAAAACAATTTTCAATATCTCCAAATTAGTGTAAAATAACATTATGTGAAGAAATTAATCATTAATCTTTTAAAAAATTTGTTAAAAAAGCAAGACTTGATCCTCTGTTATAGTTAATATTTAATGCCTATTTAATGTACGTAGGTAGTGCATACTAATAGGTAACCACCATTAATTATAGCTTTTAATTGCATTATTAAAGGGCCGAAACGGCAAAGGCTCAATATTTGTTTGGGCGTCGGGTAATGGTGGGCGGGAGCACGATAATTGCAACTGCGATGGCTATACAAATTCCATCTGGACGCTATCGATTTCGTCGGCGACGGAGCGAGGCGAGGTGCCTTGGTACTCAGAAATATGCAGTTCCACATTAGCTGCGACGTATAGCAGCGGAGCTATTAATGAAAAACAGGTAAATTCTTTAAATTTTAGATCATTTCTGTTGTATAAGTCGTAGACAGCCGGCGAATGACCTATTGGTTTAAAACTTTAGGTTGTTGCTAATCATACGATAATCGTAAAAATGAAAATTACTTATTTATATGATAATTTTTGAAGTTAAAACATTCAATTCTTTTATTATTATATTTTATATCATTATAATGTACGCGGCTTTAGGGTAGTCCAAGGACCACTCCAGTCGCACCTTGACCTACTGTCGCTACTATTACAAGGTTGGTGTAATAATTTGGTAGACAAAAACAGCCAAATCATACAAGTTTCAGAGTATGTAAATAAATATTTTAGACGTTTAATATATATCGGACGAATAAAAGTAAATAAATCTTACAATAGTCGTATAAATAAGAAAAAATCATCGTTCGTTTAAACTATACTATTTTTTTTATTACAATTGCATTTAGAAAAAATTATCTCAGAAATCGTTAATCGTAATTTCAATTGTTGGTTTACGACATGTTGAGAAAAAATATATTGAAGTGTATTGTACAGAAATATCGTTATTTTTCAACGTAGGAAATTAAAATGTCACTTCTCAAACGTAACTCTTTTAAATCTATTACTCTCTATTCTACATAATAATCTTGAGGATATAAGAATAAGTTTATGAAGGGTAATAGTATTTACACAATGTTCTTGGGGTTCCATCTCGAAATTCGTCAATTGTGTCGTTCATTGTAATAGTGAATTATCTCCGTGCAATGAAGTTTTGAGAAATTAAGAGTTTTGTTAATTAACGCGTAGAAAAAAAAAACTACAAATTTTTATTCAATGCTTTATATTTTTTATTGTAGTTAACAAATGAAATATTATAATAGTATATAGTTACTTTAAAATAAGACGAAGTTATTTTAATGAAACGAATTATTTTTTTTTGTGGACTTACTTCACTGTTAAAGTGACGAGTTATACGAGTTATATATATTGTGATTTCGTTAAGTGGTTAATCGTAGGTTATTTCGTCATCAGACGAACGTTCATCAGCATTACGTGTGCTTGACCGTGTTTGAATGTCTACAGTAAGGTTTTTGTAAAATTGATGGTAAATTGGTGGAATGTATGGGAGAAGATCAAGCATGTCCTTCTTAGCAATAGTGACTGGTCTTCTTGAAGGATAGAGTGGGCCTTGTTGAATATTGTACAAGTCAGCTGGTCGTCCTTGTTGCTTTTTTGATAGATCTACTTTGTAGAAGGGTATGTCAGCGTTGAGCGTTTCTTTAAATTGAAATTGTAAAGGATGATTCCTCTCAAACCTCAGCCATCTAATATTCAGTCAGTTGAAGTCGTAACCACAGGTTGTTTTTTTTCTGTTGGTAATAGATTTTTCTAATGCCGAAGTGCTTATAAATTCGGATTTTTTTATTTCGGTTACAACAAAATGTGGTTCTTTGCGTTTGGCTGTTTTTATGATCTCAATCCATTGATCCGGGCTATAAATGTGTCCATGACGGCGACTTGTGCTCTCAATTATCCCAAATTCCCCATCATTAGGCAAATAAGAATGCCCGGACACTAAAAACTTGTGGTCTATGGTGGTTATACTAGTATCCGGGTCTTGTACGAGCTTTAAATGGGAAAGGGTAGTCTTAATGTTTCGATTTTGTCCAGTGCAAGAATCGGAATACATGATGACGTGATTTTGTGTTACCGCGTGAGTTTTTAAACGTTTCACGAGACAGACTGCAATGTCTTGAGACTCTCGCCCTCCTTCTATCTCATTCCAGACGTTCATGTACCCTGTGTTGTTATTAAAACAATGTATTCCCAAAGTATACAAATACAGATTCCTTTTGTAGTATCCTACCGAAGTAGTTAATTTTGGGAAAGCTAAAGCTTTCTGCAAATCAAAGGTTAGTACATATGCGTCATTAATCTTTTTAGCATCAATTTGTAGATTTTCTCTTGCCGAATCTGCCTTTCTTTGATGAAGTTCCTTTTGAACTTCAAACTCTTTCTTCACGTTCTCGTCATCGGTGCCTCTAATTTTAAAATTCAAGCTATCGCAAGTCTTACATGTATCCTGGTGCGGTGCCTTGAAATGTAGATTAAACTTGGTGTTAAAAACTTTATTATAATATTTTAATTTTTTAGGTTCTGTCATTTCAGTCAAAAATTTTTCTTTATGTAGATCGTACATCTGTCGAATAGTTAGCCCAGGATTTAAAAACTTCCGGTTAGGATTACTTTTTCTTGTGTAATGGCTTTGGTACGCGGGAAAGCTTTGTATATGAACAATAATGTCAGAATCATCTAATTTTCGAGTACTAGTCGTGCCTCGTTTATCTTTACATTGCGAGACATCGCCTTTTTGATAGACAGCGATATAATCTTCCATCACTGATTTGGAATGTTTTCAAAAAATATTTTTTACATACCAGTTGTGTCATAATATGAGATTTGAGAAAATACTTAAACGAAACGTTTTTTCCTGCTCGTGACAGATCTTTAGGTCGTTTTCTATTAACAGATGCTTTTTGCACTAATGCATATAGAAAGCCATTTTGCTGATTAAAGTCGTTTAAATTCCAAAATGATTCGAACATTTCTTGCCTTTCATTTTCTGTAAAAAGCGTATAACACTTTTTAGGACATCCACAGTCAATATTTTCGAAGATTTTGGTATTTTTCTCCACTCCTATTTTAGTTACATAACCTTTTCCACTATTACGCAATAACTTTCTTTTTATTAACTGTCTAATTTTCCTTGTTGATTGACCTTTTTCTAGATTTAGATGTTCCAGGTTCTGATAGACTAGATGGCATCATAATATTTTCGTCACAACTTGTATCTGTTTCTGAAACAAGTATAAAAACGAAACCAATAAAATAATAGTGATTTCTAGGACATAACTAAATAGAAAATATATTCTTAGATATCGTATTTTCTTGTCTACAAACTTGAAAGTTATCACAATATTTTTAGGTTAGAAAAACAACTAATAAAAATATAACTTACCAGATTCTGTATGAATTTCTCCAGGAATAGGCTGATATTCAGAACCAGAATCACTAAAATCTTCTGTATTAGGCATATTGTATTAAAACCCCACAAAAACACCGACTTTGAAAATCCTTTTTTAATAATTATCACAACACGTACAACGGATGACAACAATCAGTCACAATAAAAGTAAATCAACTCCGGACTTACTTTATTATAAAAGTGACTTGGGACATACTTCACTTTTATAGTGAATAACAGTACAAATCTGTTCCTAGACTAAACAAAATAGCGACATCTACGTCACTTTAGTGGTATTAGTGGAGTTGCTTCATTTTTATATTGAAAGATATGATACATTGTGAGCCCACTGTGGGAAGATAAATTTTTTTAATATTATGGAGTTACACCACTATTACAATCAAAATGATTTCAGTGGTTTTTTTTTTCGGAAATCGAAATCGGTTCGATAGCTTACTATGAAGTTTTAAAGCGGCTTTGGTCTTAAGTTTAGCATAAATGAAAAAAAATGTATTGGGGATGCTCATTCTGTGCGATGCACGATTTTAAATTCTGCGAGAATTGATTGTTAATTTATCACGTTTTTAAAGGAAAACAATGTTAGAAAATAAAAACTATAAAGATGGATATAAAAGAGAAGTACTCATAGCTTACCGTCAGGTGAGCCGCGTATTCGTTTATTCCTTTTGGATAAAAAAGAAGTTTTTTATTACCTTGCCGATGAGTATGTATATCTCGTGAAGTTTTTGTTCGTTGTTTTTTATTATCAGCTTTTAAAATGGTGCAATATATACTTTTTTACTTATTATAAGCCAGTGCTTGACTACAACCCCATCTGGTACTAAGTGGTGATGAAGGCTAGGTGGTTAATCGAACTGCCTAAGTGTTCTTAGCTCTCATTAGCCAGAAGCCTGTTCACACTAGCCTTGTACACCCATATTTCAATAGGATTATATATATATATATATATATATATATATATATATATATATATATATATATATAACGGGTGGGCCAGAAAGGAGTACGATTTTAAAAACACTCTTGCGTTTGAAGCTTTAGAGAGGGGACTGCGCGGGTGGTGGGGTTAAGTAGCTCGGTTCTCGGAAATTTAGTTGCGATGGAACACTTCACGGGAGCGCAACGTGCTTTCTGCGTTAAACATTATTATAAAAATCACGATTCGTGCGCTATTGTTCGGCGTTTATTTCGACGTGAGTTTGGATTACATGACCTAAATCAGTGTCCGAAGGAAAGCGTGATTCGATTGTGGGTCAGAAAGTTCGAAGCTACTGGTTCGACTCTCAAACAGAAGCCTGCGGGACGCCCAAGGTCAACAAGAACGAAAGACACAATTGAACAAGTTAGAGCTTCAGTTCAACGTAATCCTGTTCTATCGACTCGAAAGCGTTCAGCCGAACTTGTGGTGTCCAGAACATCTTTGCGTCGCATTTTGTTGAAAGCATCCGTATAAAATTCAAATTGTGCAGGAATTACAGCCAAATGATCCAATTTTAAGGAGAGCTTTTGTTGAAACGATGCTGGAACGCTTTCGGATTTTCAACAATATTCTGTTCTCCGACGAAGCCCATTTTCACATAAATGGGCAGGTTAATAAACAGAATTGCCGTTACTGGGCTGCAGAGAACCCTCGTGCAAAACATCAAAAGCCTCTACATTCGCCGAAAGTAACCGTTTGGGCGGCCATGTCAGCGCACGGAATTATAGGACCCCACTTCTTCGAAAATCGACAAGGCCAATCTGTCACTGTAAATTCTGGCCGATACATAGCCATGTTAAGGGATTTTTTCTTTCCACAACTGCAACAATTTGAAGCCTATAATCGTGCAACATGGTTTCAACAAGATGGCGCGACATGCCACACAGCTAATGCCTCTTTGACGGTCGTAAACGAGATGTTTGGTGAGAAACTGATATCGCGCCGAGGTGACATTGAATGGCCTCCTAGAAGTCCGGATCTTACACCACTGGACTTTTTTTTGTGGGGATACCTAAAAAGTAGAGTCTACTCCAATAACCCAGCCACAATTGACCAATTGAAGACCAATATCCGGAAAGAAATGGCAGATATTCCCCGTGCAATGTGCCAGCGAGTTTTTACCAAATTGGTAAAAACTCGCTGGCATGTTCAGATTCGAAGAATGTTTGCAGCGCGATGGTGCACATCTGGATGATGTTATTTTTAAGAAATGAATTTCCCAGATGTAAATTTTTGTAGAAATAAAAATTTGTATGTGAATTGTACTTAGTTTTTTTTTAATGATTTTTTCAAATTCGCAATTCTTTCTGGCCCACCCTGTATATATATATATATATATATATATATATATATATATATATATATATATATATATATATATGTAACGTAATTAACGCACACACTTAGACACCCTAATTAGTATATTATGTTAAAATCATAATACATACATTGAATTTTTAGTAAAAAAATTTTATGCACTGATTATTTATCAAATTAGTTATACTAATTCTGGAAGAATGTTGTTGTCACAGTACAAATCCACAAACGCAAAGACTTTAAGGTGCTTGAAATAAAGTTCATTTTTCTTTATTTTTATTGAATGGCAGAATTAGTAATAATACAAACAAAACTGCACTCTTAAAAGTCTTATTGCTTTAAGTTACGGTCCATTTCATTTTTTTTTGACTGTACAGATTTAGTGTGGCTGCAATTTACGTAGTTTTAATTATTTTTGGGATAAAAATTACTATTATTTAAAAATGATAGGAATCGATTCAGTAAACGATTCTGAACAAACTACTTTCTCAAAGTGCGTTAATTATGTCACGTGTTGTATATACTGCTGGCCAGGCAGACGTTGTTCTGCCCATTCCGACGACTTTCCTGTAAAAAATTCTTAAATTTACAATAAAAAATTAATGATTTCTTATCGGATTAAACACCACCCTATCTCTCACGCCCCCACTGCCTGGCCTGCGGGTGTAGCGGCCTGTCTCCTGGTATCGTTTCAGTGAATACTGCATTGAGGACCGTGGTACGTTAAGCACAATAGCAGCTTCACGCTGTGTCAGCCCTTGGTCAATTAATGCTACTGCTTGTGCAACTTGTGCTGGTGTTAATGGCATTTTTATTGGCTTTAAAGCACCTTTATATATATATATATATATATATATATATATATATATATATATATATATATATATATATACTAAGATATACATATAATATATACCTTAAATGTGACAATAAAATACTATTGCAAAAACTATTGAAATTGCAAATAATAAAACATCTAAATATAAAAAAAGTTATGTAACAACTTTTTAAAACGTTCTGCTAGGATTTTCTTTCGTGCCAGGATTTCCAGAGTAATGTTGCCTGAATAGTAAAGGAATTCTTGGTGAAACAAGTGAAGTGTGATGAAATACTGATCTTATGATAAGATGAGGAGAGAACAACCTTACCAAGAGTTAAAAAGAAAGACAGGAATTTGTCCTAGAGATATGTCGGCGAAGTTTTATTATTCAAAATAATAATTATCATTTCAATTATTTTATCTTTGGTATTAAAACATTTATCTTCTTTGAGTTGAATATTGATTAGGACTGACCCAAATATACGAGTCAATATAAAACAAAAATAAATTAAATAAGTTTGTGTTACTTTTTATACAGGTAGTAACTACGGATCTACATCACTCGTGTACGGCAGGCCACATAGGAACGTCAGTGTCAGCACCACTAGCAGCTGGTATTTGTGCCCTAGCACTTCAAGCGAATCGGGACCTTACATGGCGTGACATGTAGCACATTGGTATGACACGTGACATAGGTGTTTTGAATAATTCTTTATTATTATAACTTTTTGAAATAATACATAAAATAAATACATAAAAACTCACACGTCACACAGAGGGGTAGGCGAAGACTACGGATTTCCATTTGGCACGTTCCTATGGATGTAAAGCATACATGCGAACGCCAGTAACCCAGACCCACCTCCCTGCAATCATTTTACAACCGCCCAGAACATCATTTTGTAACTTTTTTCTCTTACCACACAGTTCCTCTCACTGTCGTTCAGATTTAGCCCTATTATATAATCCTCAGTTATATTATCATCATAGTTAACAAGACTAATAATGTCCTCATGATCAGCAGTCGCACTACTACAACCACTAGACCAACGAGGCAGTCTAACTCAACGTCTAACAAGACTACCGTATACAGGAAAGTCAATGTGTAAAGTGAATGTGCTCCTCTTGGTGGTAGCGTAAGAGAATCCAGCGGATTCTCTCCATATCATCTCAAGGGTGTAGTAGATCTGACAAAGGGAAACTGGATCAGGACGAACTGAAACATCTTCCGGATAATAGCAATAAAGAACTGCGGTTTGTAATCCGTCTGCAAACCGTGGCAACTATCACATGTATTCTTAATAAGGCAATCAATGAGGGAGGCCAGCGTTCTAAAATAAATGAATAAATATGTAAATATATTGAAATGTTAATTTTACCAGTCGTACGCACGGCCAGACCAGAGCGCCTCAGTCTCGAGGGCAACTGGCGTGTGAACGGCGTTGGACGCAACGTGTCGCATTCGTTTGGATACGGGCTCCTGGACGCGGCGGGCATGGTGAGGCTGGCTCGCTCCTGGCGAACTGTCCCGCCGCAGAGGCGCTGCGAACTGGCGGCTCCGAGACCACAGCGCGCGGTCCCTCCTAGGTCTTCTGTCACTCTTCAGGTATGTTCAAATTAATTGTGAACAACTTTTATACCGTTTATTTTTTCTTGTTCCATTTTTCGAATGTTTGTTGTTTTTAAAGGCACTGTTGTGGACAGAGATGGTCATGGATAAACGAAAAAATAATATTTGGAAAATACAAAAAAGCACGAATTTTCATTGAATTTAGATGAAAAAAATAAATTGTATTCCTCACTTTTAAAATATATTTAGTGTTTTAAATTTTGCGCTCTATTATTTTAACATGTAGTGACACCTACAGGGAAAAACATAGTGTTTATCAAAATAAATCGATAACACAATATATAAAATCGATATAGGATGTACGGTACATTTGTCCTTTGTCTATCAGGGGCTAAAATATATGAAATCGCCTTTAAATTTTTAATAGTAATAAAACTTATAAAAGTTGAAAATTATTTCATTAACAAACTACGCGTACCATGGCTATTGATGACCAGTTGATGTAATTCTGAAACTAATAAAAAAAAACTGGGTCTCGATACGACAATTTCTTCAGGAATTATCATGACCACATACAAAATCAACATGCGGACGTCCGCGTAAATTTTTTTTAGACCGAGTTTTTCAAAGTAGCAATATAAAATATTTTTTTTTAAATATAAGATGGATTAATTAGAGTGTTTTCTTGATCTAAGACTGCTCATATTATCGTATAAGTTCAATATGTTTATAAAAGAGGCATTATAAAAACACAAAATTGCTTGATCTTGACGTGACGAAAGTAAAACATTACCAAATAACGCTTCGCGTTATGAGACTTACAAAAGTACCTTCTCGTAAACATAAGAAGTCGTATTATTATTGTACAATATGTATTAATATTTGAAAATTAAAAATTGACTTCAACATAATATTATCTCTTATGAAACGAATCATAATTTATTTTACTTAATTTATTAAATTATATATAAATGAAAATAAAATAACTTTTTTAATACGTTACTAAGATTTTCACTGTAATGTAGAGACGATTTACATACCCGTAGTTAAATTAATAAGACTTAAAGGAATTACTTGTAGGCCAAACAAATACTTTTAACGTGCGGGATTCGAATTTCGAATTCAAATTCTGTGCTACCAAGCCTTCATCTGACTTGTTGGCTTTACAAAGATAAATTAACCGAAGTTCAATTAAATTTATAGCAATAGTCCAGGAGGAATCGGCGCTGGAGTACCGAAAACTATTCCATCACAATGTTTCTATGCGATTCTCTTCAAATTGTTCTACTGATGATATAAATGCATGTAGCCATGAGGCAGTTCGCTGCCATATTGTTTAAATCAATGAATATGATATTGTTACGAGCTTGAGGTTCGTGACAATAAAAATTGCCGATAAATTACCTAAATTAACACTTTAATTTACTTTACACAAATTAAAGTTAAAAACACCAATAATTAGACACACTAATTCACTTTATTCCGCTCCGAAGCTTCGCTTGTTTCGCCAAATCAACACTACCTCGATCGCATCTTGCAGCGCCTATATATTTAAATTAGTAAAGAAATATCCAGAATGTTCAAGTAAACACGCGCAAGGTACCGAGCGTTCGAGTTTCGACTAGGCGCTGTCGGTTGAGTAATTTGTGATGTCATTTTCTCAATGCTCCCCTCGCTCTCGTTCCTGACACTAGATGGCGCTAGTGTATCGTTGACTGGAGCGCGTAACACTGCCCCCTCCTAAGACATGCTCGTCCCGAGCATTATCGGCCCCATAATAACGCGCCAAGCGATTCACATGGACGATCTTAGGAGTCCCTCTTGCGCCTTTCTGTAACGGCTCCGCAATGTCAAGGGCTGTCCTATCCCGTGGTGCACCAATATTGTACAATTTCAGTGCTCCTCTACTACGTGTCCGAGGTCCCCGCTCGGCCGCACAACTTGTACATGTACGACACCAATCCTCGACATCGTCACGATAATGGACCCAGTAAAACTGTTCTCGGACCTTCAGTAGAGTTCGTTTAACTCCCAGATGGACTCTTGAACGACCATTATGGCACAACTGTAGAACATTCGGCACTTTAGCTTTAGGGACAACCATTTGCAAACGACAGCTGTCTCTTCGACCATTGTCCCATTTACGGCACAGGACTCCATCCTGAATCAGCAAGCTGTCCCATTGAGCCCAATAGCTTTTCGTGGTTGAACTCATCGCTGAGACGTCCCTCCACTTAGGCTTGGTAGCACGGGCCTTCATCCATCCCAGAATCGGCTTGATGTCCGGATCTTCCTGCTGTGCATGTCGTAGGTTGTCCTTCCACCCGTTGCTGAGGTGATCTGTCCTGAGCATCCTCACGGATACCACCTCCTTACTCTCTTGCCTACTACAATGGTTGCAATCTTCAGGACAAGGTCTTCTTGACAATGCATCTGCGTTGCCGTGAGATTTCCCGCTGCAGTGTCTGATAGTAAAGTCGTATTCCTGCTGCTGCTGGGCGGTGCTGTTAGCCGCACTTCCTTTCTGAGACCGTTCACCTTCCCTTCGTAGGGTGTGCTCAGGGTAGCTGGACCGAAGATGGCCCCTTTCCCCACAGCCATAGCACCTAGGGCTGTATCTTTTATTGTGGTCGCGAACCGTAACTGCTGTAACCTCCCTAGCGTGAGGTGAACGATGATCCTGTCGCCGCCAGGCAGTGTCGTTAGCTGCACTACCCTCTCGAGATCGATCAACTCTCCTTTCCACGGTTCGCTTAGGGCAGCTGATTCGAAGATGGCCTTTTTTCCCCCACAGCCATAGCACCTAGGGCTGTATCCTTTGTTTCGGTCGCGAACTGTAGCTGCCGCAACCTCCCTGACGCGATGGGAACGATGATCCTGCCGCACGGCTTCCACTTCCAGTGCATGGGCCAAGGCGTTCTTAAGCGTCTCGTGGTGCCCGAGCCTCACAGCAGCTCTGACTTCCAGGTCGCGGATGCCGTCGATGAATGTCTGCACCAGGTTCCCTTCAATGAGCGCAGGTACAGACCGGTATGCTTTCCGCACCAGCTTCTCCACCTCAAGGGCCCACTGCTGCAGGTTCTCGTTGCTGCGCTGCACGCGATCTTTAAGCTGCGCGCGAAAGACGTGTTCCAGATGAGCGTCGCCATATCTCGCTTCCAAGGCCTCAAGAAGCTGCTCATAGGTCACTTTCTTACCGAGAGCTTCCAACACAGTTAAGGCTTGGTCGCGCAGGCCTAGGGTGAGTGCAGTCATGGCTTGGCTTTTATTCCAGCCGTTCGCCTCCATGACGGCCTCGAACCGGATTTTGTAGGCCGACCAGGAAGAGGTCCCGTCGAACGGCGGCACTTTGAATCCACGTAGCGAAGGTGCTGCAGCTACTACGGGAGCTGTAGTTCCATCCCCAAGTTTGAGGTCGTTTAGCGTTTTCTTCACGTCAGCCATCACGTTGTCAACCCGATTTTTCACATGGTTGATTCGGGTTTCATGTTCTTCGATTCGGGTTTCAGCTTCCGACAGGCGGTTGTCGTGTTGAGCAACCCTATCCTTCACGTCCCTTATCTCTTTCCCAAAGGTAGCGTGAAGGTCCTTCATGAGGAGCATCTGCTCTTCCGACCGACGAGCCTGTTCCGCCTGCTGACGGGCCTGTTCCTCTCGTCCGCTCTGCAGCTGCTCTTTCAACTGACGGACCTGTTCCTCTTGTCGGCGGGCCTGTTCCTCCTGTCGGTGGGCCTGTTCCTCCTGTCGGCGAGCCTGTTCCTTCTGCTGCTCTTTCAACAGACGGGCCTGTTCCTCTCGTCCGCGCTGCAGCTGCTCCTGTAGCATCGCCATCAGAGCACCTAAGTCAGGTGCTGCAGATGTAGGAGCTAATGACGGGCCCGCAGCCTCCGTGGCTGGCAGTTGGCCCTCCGACATCTGCGCCGTTGCACCACCAAATCTCCGCTGGTCCGTCTCATGCTGGCGTTGACTGCGGGTACGGACACCCTCCGTTTCTTCCTTAGGTAAAATCGGCATGATTTGATCCCACTTCTGACACCAATTGTTACGAGCTTGCGGTTCGTAACAATAAAAATTGCCGATAAATTACCTAAATTAACACTTTAATTTACTTTACACAAATTAAAGTTAAAAACACTAATAATTAGAGACACTAATTCACTTTATTCCGCTCCGAAGCTTCGCTTGTTTCGCCAAATCAACACTACCTCGATCGCATCTTGCAGCACCTATATATTTAAATTAGCAAAGAAATATCCAGAATGTTCAAGTAAACACGCGCAAGGTACCGAGCGTTCGAGTTTCGACTAGGCGCTGTCGGTTGAGTAATTTGTGATGTCATTTTCTCAATGCTCCCCTCGCTCTCGTTCCTGACACTAGATGGCGCTAGTGTATCGTTGACTGGAGCGCGTAACAATATGTATATAATGAAAGTAATAAATGCAATAAATTGTTATTTTCAAACGGGACAAGTTTTTTATATTCATTAATGAAAAACAAATAAAAAAGTACTCATCATTTTATAATATAGAAAAAAGTAAGGTCTCTAACTTTTAAAAATTCATAACTCCAAAAATTATAATTCTGAATCTAACATAAAGTTGTTATAGATGTTGAAGAGTTCCCTCGTAATGAGACTATTCGGTCTGTTGCAGCAGTTTATGGTGAAGATCATGTTTACCAAACAAAAAAGAAAACCGTTAAATACTACCTTCGTAAGGAGAAAATGCTACTGTACAGAGTACAGCAGTAGTTCGTGATAAAAATCGTGATAAACTATCAAAATTAAACCAACATATAAAAATTCGTGACGCTGCTACTACCCGTTGAAAAGTTACCTAGTGAGGAGATAATCCTGGCTACTGCATCAGGTTATATCTATCATATTATTGCATTGTGACTGAAGTTACGGTAAACAACATTTCAACTCAATCAGACATCGGGAAGTGGTTCAAATCTTAGTTGCAACTATGTGAACTTAACACACATACCTACTGTAATAATAACAACATTAAAAAGGTAAAAACACGGTGTGGGTACTACACTTATTATTA